CAATTCAATTCAATTCAATTCAATTCAATTCAATTCAATTCAATTCAATTCAATTCAATTCAATTCAATTCAATTCAATTCAATTCAATTCAATTTGAATTGAATTCAATTCAAAAATCCTAATGCCAGGGAGAAGCTTTAATTTTTGACTTTAGTATCAAAATTTCCGAAGTTGTTAAAAGTCAAAAGCAGATGGAGGTCATGTCGTCTTCTTGATTCACACTACCATCACCAGCAATTAAAACAAATAAACTTTAGCATTGACAATTTTGAAAAATAAAGGACAGAACACCTGATTACTTTGAAAAAGGGGACAAAACCAAGAAAACTACCTATATGTGTCCATTGCCAGAAGGCGAAGAACTTAAAAAATTATTTTTACGTATAACCAAAGGTGGTGCTTTTATAGGAATGAAAGTAGTGGGAAAGCTGCACTCTAAAAATAGAGAGTTTGCGGGTAGTGGACTATAGTCCAATATTCTGTTCTTGTGGAGTACAGGATTTTAAAATGACCGCAGAGGTACCTCGTATGCGGCCATTAATTTCAGAGGTGACGATGGATTTATGTAGGATGCAATTATAATAATTTTTGGCAGTTATTAAGAGTTTTTGGTTGTTAATGTCTAGGCGCAGTTGGGATTATGTTTTTAAGTATTTAATGTATTAAGTATGTTATTAAGTATTTATTTAATTATTATTATGGGGTTAAGAAATATGTACCTTGATTTATATTAATAAAGTGAAAGCATTATATGTATATGTGTGATTTTTTTTGTTCACTTGGAAAAGTTTATATCCCTAAATTTAAAGGAGAAAATTATCTACAATTCAATTTAAAATAATCAAGTTTTTTAACTTATTCCTGATAAAGAAGAATTTGAGTTAAAAAAATTATCTTTGGAAGAACAAACAATWTCACATAAACAAGGTGTTCCAGATAATTCATAAAACAACACTGATTTTATTAATACAWACTTTAAGATGTAATTATTTGAAAAATGTTKATTTTTAAATATATCTTAAAAACAGACATTAACAATCAGCAGGTGTAGTTTTTATATACAGCTGAAAAATTAATTGTTTTTCATTTTAGTCTAATATGTGTAACTTTTTAACTCAGATTATTATGTCTAGTTTTCTTAGTCATTTTCCTATGTTCTATGCATTTTTTTTTTCAACAAAAACCACAGATTCAGTAGTTACGTCTGGCTCACATTTTTAAGAAATCGTAAAAACGGGGTAGTTTTTCTTACTTTTGGCATAAAAAATCTGGCTCACATTTTTAAAAAGGTCATAAAAAATGGGGAATTTTCCATAAAAATTGATGTTTCAATAGATAAAATGAGCCTAAAAACAAGTCATTTTCTCAATTTTTTGTGTTTTTGAACCGACTTCAATGGGCTGTTTTTCCAAACTCAACAAACTTCAACGACAAAACTTGAAAATCGACTCATTTTCTTAAAAAAATTGATGATTTGGGAAAATCTGAGTTAGAACTTAG